CTCTCTCTATCTATCTATCTATCTATCTATCTATCTATCTATCTATCTATCTATCGATGTGTTATCAACTCGCCTACGCGACGTTTTCTAACGCATGATATTAATATTACACGCATTATCTCATAATATTTCATTCTCCCCGACATCACGATTGTCAAAATACATTACCTCCGCGATGATAACTCGCACTACCGAGTACTATGCAATGGTTCACGTCGAGACAATCACTTAGCATTACCACGAAAGAACAATAAAGATTTTAAAGATTTCAAACAATAAATAATAACTATTTTAAAGATTTCAAACAATAAATTTTACACAATAAATTTTTTTTTCTACAATGACATTCTCTGTACTTTCTCTCTCTATTTATCTATCTATCTCTTATTAACAGACCGACGCTATTACTCCAAATTCGCGTCATTTCTCATGACTGTGTTGATTAATCCAGAAAGCGGCAACGTGTTTTCTGGATTAATTAACAGTAACGAAAATTGGAAAACAATATGCTTTAGAATTGATTATATTCCTCTTGTGTGCGGTGTGTAAATTAATCGACTCCAGTAAAAAAAAATAATTCTTTTTCATAAAACGATTCTTTTTTTTTTGTTTGTTAGAATCGTGAAGGACCAGGGAGTCGACACAGTCGCTGGAAAACTATCGCGATCTCTCTCGACATTCGAAATATCCGACATTAAATTCCAGCAAGTACCGGATTCGTATCCTACAAGAGAATTTTCCGATATCCCCTATAAATAAATATCTCGGTTTTAATAGGAGGTTCCGGACATCTACACACGCGGAATATACCATGGAGAACGCGCGTAACATCCGCAAGTACTACTAGCGCGAGTACTTTCCCAGCGTTTTGCTAGTGAGAGTTACTATTTAATAACCGAGCATTACGGAATTAATGTACAAACTTTCGGTCAGCGGCTTATCTGCTGCTCTTATCCTGCCAGGACGCCAAATTTCGTTAGCCCGCGTTGCTCCCGAATGCTCGAAGACGGCGCCAGAGAGACGATTACCGAGAGTTGAAATAACTGTATAGGATAATTTAGAACGATGGAAAAGTAAAGTTTGTTCGATGCTAGTCGACACGTCTGGGTGAAGAGTTAGCAGAAAGGTGAGCGGGAGGGGGGAGGGGGAGAGAACGCTCTCGCGTGATAAGTAGAATAATCCGAAACAACTACACTATATATACATCGAGGCACTTGGAACTTTTACTGTCTATCTTCGAGCGAATTATTGTGACAGGACGATAAGCTCCTTCTCAGACAATCAAATTATTCGGCTAAATATCGCGGCGCTGGGTATTTCACCGCGTCTCGCGGCGTGACACAACATCGCGATTAATTTACATCATACCCCGTATTATTTACGGATTCCTACTTACGAATTTACGGGCCACTTATTAAACTGCCTTAGATCTCGCGCGCCCGCTCTACACAATTCCACTCGATTAGCGGTTACCTCCTCCTCACTGGAGGCACGCTCTTCACCCCGGATCGTAAATTAATCGCGATCCAGCGGCGAAAAGAAAGCCGTGTCGCTGATTAATCATGTTTAAGCACCGTGTGGGCGCAATCGCGTTTCACGAATTGGCGAACGCCCGGCGGGATCTAGCGAGGCGCGCGATACGAACGACGACCCCATGGGGGAGGGAAGGGGGGGGCTGAGGGGCCCCGGGTCAATGGAAGTCGCGTTTAGCGTCGCGAACGGATATAAAGGGCTTCCCGCGGTTAATTCCTCCTTTATCCAAGCTGGAAAGCTTAACCGTCCGTTCGGGCGCAAAGGAGTTTACGGTGCTATATCGTCCAGGAGCTGAAAGCGACTAATTATTTTTTATTTCAGTCGTCGCGCGCGCGCGCGCGCGCGCGCCAGACAAAGACTATTGCTCGTCGCGCGCGGCCGTGCCGCGGACAATTTTACACTCGATTCCTGGCTTCCTTTCGTATACTTTTACATTATGCCCTCGCTCCCTTCCTCCCTGTCAGCCCTCATCTTCACCTCACCCCCTCGTTAATCTCGCGCTTCCAGACAGAAGAACTCTTCTGCTTTAGTACTGATTTTCTTTCGCCGGGCTTGCCCGCCGTTCGTTAAGGGGAGACCGTCCGAAGCAATTCTTCCGAAATTAAATCTCCGCCTCCGCGTCCGAGCGATCGCACGCCCACGCTTTATCCATATTACGGTCGAAGAATGTCTTGCTCGTCGGGAGACGAGCGATACGCGCACTTTATCTCGCTCCGCGATAAAGACGCGCAATTGTCTTCGACCCTTCATCTCGGATCGGCCGCGAAACACGTGGCGAACGATCTCGACTTCTTTCAGCCGACGGATAAGCACGAATTGAGCGCGTGTGATGTTCCAAGCGAGTCTCCCCGCACCGAATAATCCGGCGGCGCCGTTGCACCAAGTAAAAAAAATGGGCGACGGTGTGGTGTGAGGAAATGAACACCATTGTTTCGTCCGACGCGGCGAACTTGCGCGAGCCGACGTGGCTGTTTCGTCAATTAGTCCCCGACAGCCCGGAGGAATCAGGCGCGAGTCGGCTGATAATGATCGAGGACGAGACGCGCGTCTGAACGCAGTCGGGGGGTAAAGTTGGGGATGGAAAGCGCGACTATTAGACGCGCGGCAAGTGCCGCTGAATTATTCACGACGTTCTTCTGTCGTGCACAGAAACGGCGCTGAAACGTAAGAACTGCATCGATATCGCGAAACTGGCACAATATGTCGTGGGCACAGCTTACGTACGGCGCCGGTGATTGCATCGCCGTCGTATAGACTACCGCGGCCCTTCCTTCCGTCCGTGGGCGCGGAATACAACCTGTCGCGAATAACGTCGCTGATATCAGGTCTGAGGCTGCAGCAGCCGGGGAAAGAGTGCGGAGAGGAGGGAAATCGCGGAGGGGTTCGCCGTGGAACGGGATTTTCGAAGCGAGAGGTCCCGCGACGTAATGACTCCGCGCAAAAATAGAGCGCGCGGGGTGAAAGGGCACGAAAGGAAAGAGCACGCGATGAGGAGCGTCGGCATGACGGCGGGCGGATAGCTCTGAAAAGCAGGGCGGATCGCACGAGAACGATGACGCGCAGGCGAGCATCATCGATTCGGCACGCTCGCGATACTCGCGATACTCGCGCATATCTCGCGCACGCGGCGCAGTGCGGTAAATTCGTCTGAGGAGCCGCCGACTTGGCTCGACTTGGCGGAAAGGGCGCGCGCGTTATCACGTCGATCGTGCAAACGCACGAGAGAGACGCACGTCGAGATCGCGCAAATCGAGATCTCGCCAAACGATCTCTCGATGTCAACGACGAGCACGCGGATCTCGCACGTTCACATCCCACGACACGATGGAGAAAATTAGCCCGAAATTCTCGAGATTTTTTCCACCTCCCATCTCACCTTGCTCGTAACTCCGAGCATTATTCCCAGCGCTTAGCCGGAGTATTTGACTTTCGCCCTGACGATACTTCAGCTCTCGCGCCACGTTCGGTCAATTGAAAGACAGCGACGAAATGACAGGTTGCACAAACACGTGCGCGTGGCACGAATTAATTAAAACACAGCGGAGGGCGAGACGCACGACGCGACACGGCGCGGCGCGGTGCGGTAACGGCGACGGCGCCGACTCGATGTTCCGCCGTGATAAAGGATAGGGAAGCGTCGTTATTAATCCGCGCAAAATTAATGTCTGCTTATAATGAATTTCAACTTCGTTCCGTGAAAGCCGCCGAGAAGCGGAGGGTTCACACTCTCTGTCTTTCTCTCTCTCCCTCCGGCCGGGTGCAACGCCCGAAATGCGGACACTGCATAAATTAAAGATACCTTGGAGCGCGCGTTCCCGCAGCTCGCAAGAAGTTTTAACGATAACGCTTTTTTAGACGCGTTATTATGCCGTCCTTAGATAAGTCTCTGTATTAAAATAGAGAGTCCTGCGCACGAGTCCCTACCCCGCCCGTCGCGGCTCCACGTACTTCCTTCTCCTCCTCCTCCTGCACTCTCCTCCATGTCCTTTACGCGGGGCTATCGCGCTTTACGATGTGCTCTCGTTCCTAGCTTTAGTGTGTTATAACACGCATATTCATCGGGAGCTTGTTAAAAATTCTACGGTCCCACCTTTCGACGTGAAATACGGCCGGAAAATATGAGACGGGGAGGATGACTTCGAGTTTCGTGATTGCACGAGCTTCCCGGATTGCGGCAAGTTCGATAGCGGATCCCGATTGTGAAACTCTCATACGTTCATTCACGGAGATATCGCGTGTTCCCACGCTAAAAACGGAGGTGGTGCTGTTAAGTGCCTCGTGCACGAGGATAGAGGATTGAATTTTTTATTTGCGCAACGGTGACACGTGAGACATTGGCGTGAGGCATATAATCGTCCGCTAATTTCCCAGAGCGACGTTTCGCGCAACGAATAAATCCGACCGCTTTGTGTGCGCGAGGGAGATGATAAGCCCACTATAAATACGTGAGAATCGTATATTAATAGCGTATATTTGCTAATGCATTCCTCGGAAGGGCCACGACAACGGGATTCAATGAAAACTCTACGCGACTACGCGATAACTTTTCGACACTTGCGCGATTCATCGACGTTGATAAAATATCACGCTAAATTCACAATGAGACAAATACCCCCGAAATATCCCCCGATGAATATATTCGCGGAAAATACATTCACACTTTGGCAGAAAAGCAGAAGCCACAATTAAAGCTAGTAGAAAAATAAAAACTGTCGACTATCACTTAACCGCGACTTCTAATAGACTACTGCCTTTCTACTGCCTTTCTTTTCCGTCAAAGTGTGTGAATTCATCCTGAACGGAGGCGCGCGAGCTTTCGTCAGCTTTTTTCGTCAGCGTGTAGGATCAAACGCCTGATCCTTGATCGTGGACACTCTAGAATAAATCTAGTTTTTCTTGCGACGGTTTGTTTTAATTATGAAGTTGAGTGATAATTATCTCTTCAAGTCATAGAGTGCCGGCAAAAAACCCAACTACTCTGCTGATCACAAGAGGAAGTCATTTGTTTCTGAAGTGTCCACGACACCTCCAGGGGATGCCAATAATTGAGCGTTCTACTCTACGCCTCATTTTTACGCCGGAGATAAGCTGCGAAATGACATCAACGCAAGTTCCGTCGTAGCCTTGTGGAAGTAGTGTTCTCCGCATTGTCTGGGTGCAAGAACAACATAAGCTGCGCTAACACGATAATACATAGTCCGCACGGGGAGCGGGCGTGTCTCCTAATGTCGTTTAGAGCAAGAACAAGATAGTTCCAGAGTTTCGCTTGATAAAGTAGCATTGTAAGTCCCTAATCTATGCGAGATCATCTGTCGCATAACAAGATACCGTTCGCTCTCTCAACGAGAGGAGATCGACGCGACGTGAGAAATGCAGCTATTAATGCAAAAGTACTAATTCTCAGACGCATCACTCAGCGCATCTCATCCTGACCATTATGATTGTTTTGGTCCCCGAATATTTAAACTTCCAATATAAGACATACATATGTACGCGTACATATTGAACACACATTGCTGAATTCAAATATAGTAATCAAAATGTTACATCGGTAACAGTTTTAGAGGGATACGCGATGACAGATTTTTATACACTTCCTTTCAACATTATCTTTAGGTAAATCTTTATCTCTTTGAAGCACAGGACTTTCAAAATTCGGACTCTGATAAAATATTCATGTCACATATCTAGAATGACAACCCAGAAGATCATTCCTTTTGAAATTTATTTTTTTCTATTTTTTTTTTACAACTCTAGCACGCAAAGTAAAGCGAGATACTTATTGACACAAAAACCCAGTAGAGTGCATCACTATGCATAAACTAAGCGATGGTTTCATTGCAAAATCACTATGTCTGAAGCTATGATTTGATTCAATAGGTGATCTTATGGTGCTGCAAATGAATATGTAAATAGATATGTAACAGCAAAAGAACGCTCGGCGCAAACAGAAAGTTAAAAATTGTTGCCCGTTGTAATTAAGCGCGCAATTATCATCATTATTATCACGAGTTACTATCTCATCAAGGTGTAATTGCAAGGTAGAATGGACCCCGGATCGCTCAAATTTCTCGATGTAAATCTCGGCGAAGCCGCCAGCAAGTCATCGTAGGCGGTGAGCGCGTATTCGCGCGATCGCCTGCCTCGAACTTGGCGGCAGTTTCGCTCTTGAAGAGCGAGACGTCTATGGCGGCTATGCAAAGCCGAATCCCGGCGCAATTAATTCTCCGGCCGAATCGAAGCGCGATTCTCTCTCGATGGAATATAATCGCGCTCTCTCGGCCGGCGTCGGGACCAAAGGTGACTCGTCGAGAGCGAGCCGGGGATTCGCGTGATTCAATGGTTGTCGGCTGGAGAGCACACACCGGAAGCGAGCCGTCCCCTCAGTCGTACGCCACGAAACGACCGCGGCCGCCAAAGACACCGAGAGCGATGTCGCGCTCCTCGCGACTCGACTGCAAATTAATTGGACACCGACTCATCGAATTTTACGCTCGTCCGGTAGCGCGTCCCGACAATCGTATCACTTTTCCTCCCGACCTGCCGATAGAATAGCGTAACATCGCATCGTTAACGCCCATGCCCGTTCGTTATTTCCCCGTTTGTGCGTTCCCAATCGTGCCGAACCGACGAATTTTGCCCCTCCGGACAATAGTCACGTGTACGGACGCGTTTTTCCGCTTTGCATGCATTTTGCCCCGCGCGAACCATCACCAATAACTAATTCAAATGATCTCGAGAAAAAAGGGAGAGGGAAAATTACGAACGCACAGTGCACTGAGAAGAAGTGACTATACCCGGAGAAGTGATTATTATAAATAGAAAAATAATTTCAAGATAAGAAAAAAGAGCCAATACACAAATAAAGTAGTAATAAGACTAACTAATAGAATCAGTATTTATACTCTAGACATAATGAGAAAATATTTATTACGTTCAAATCAGAATCATACGCGTTTCAGTCCTTCAGTAGACCACCCTCCTCAGGGATAAATAATAAAGAAAAATAATTTTAGTTAGATCAACCATTCCTTTCTCTCGGTTTCGATTCGCGAGTCTGGAAGCATTCGTAGAATTTGGAGGATCGAATCGATTTACCCGATGACGCGCCCCCAAAACTGCGCTGAACGCGTGGCATCGCGTCGCTGTGTATCGTGCGGACAGTTCTCCCTTATCTAATCCTCTTTGGACGATCTCGAAACTCGGATTCGCCTTCGGACCTACGTCACCGTTGCTTCTGACAGAGCATAACAATTTCCACCGAGATGAACATTACCAGTTTACCAATTTACTTTACAGACTACATGCAGAATCGAGAGGCAGACTCAAGTCCTTCTCCGCCTCTTCCCCACATTCTCCAATTACGAAAGCTCGCGGGGTTTCCGCAGAAAGTTTCGGTTTGCTCGACGTCTCTCGTGCGCGCGTCGCTGGCTAAACTGTTTAGACATGTCCTCGGACGGTCGAAAACTTCCAAGTGACGTTCGAATTTTGGTACTTACCATGTCAGGCAAAGCATCGGAAGCTCCGAAAGATCGACAGGTCAGCCAGAGAGTAAGAAGATAGACGTCGCGGTCGGGAGTCGAGGGAAGCGAGCACCGTGTCGATGAAATCCACTTGCTCGCGCTGAAAAGTTACCAAGTCTCAATGACGTACACGAAACGGCGGTCGATAATAATTCAAAATGAAATTGGTTTCCCGATCACACGTATATTCGAGCATGTCGCGGTAAACGTATCGATACTTGGACCTCTATATCGCGAGTTCTCGTCATTTCGCCTTTAACTACTCTCACAAGTAAAACATACCTTTGTATCATGATTTTATTGAAACCCAATACACTTATAGAGTAGTAAAAATAATAGACACGTATTTTTCATGCTGTGATTGAAACATCATCGAGAAGATGAAACCGTGAAACTTTAAATGGCCCACAATATACCTCCTGCATACAAAACAGTCGTCTCTCATATCGCTGTCGCGTAAGAACGCGTAGAGTCGTCGCTTTACTTTACGATGAATTAATACGTAAACGAGATCTACGTCTTACGAACTGTTTACGAGTTACATTTACGAGTGCACGAGCGTAGCACGGGGAGACAGAGCAAGACCGTTGTCTAGAATGTTTTAGCCTCCACATTTAATCTGCTACTGAAAATTTTAGCCCGTCTCCGCCTAGGAGTTCTCGCTCTTAACCTTTTTTGCTCTCCACGTCCATTCCCATCTTTCTGACGGCGACGACGACGACGACAATGACGACGAAGTTGGGTACCGAGAGCCCCGCTCTCTTCCCGTTGCATGCGCATACTCATGCACTCCGCGCACATGCACATATTCCGTCAGACTAAAAAATCCAAGAGGTGAACTTAGAGCTTCTACAATTTCTCTTTACTTATATCTGGCGGGGACAGAAACGGGAATTGGAAATCGTTGGAACGAAAAATCCGATATAGTCCTAGGCGGAGACACACCGCTCACAAAATACAGCATTATACTAGATGATTACACCGGATAATTCTAAGTTTTAATTAAAATTCCTAGAAATATCTCGTGGAGGAATGGCCGATGATGCCAACCGGAAAACTGACCTGACGGACACAAAGATCGTGTGTCGTAAAAAGATCTCCCTCCTCGATAACATGAAGTTTCATTAATGTCCGCGGAACATATAGTAAAAACTTAATAGTTTTCGACTCGTCGAGCGTGCTCTCTCTCGAGAGAGAGAGGAAGACAAAGGGACATAGAAAGCGAGGCGGTAAACCACGAAGAATGTCGTAATAGAGTCTGTCTTCCATTATTTGAGCATCTAGCTCTACTTCCAATCCTCCGGATCATCCAATCCTGGCACAATTTTCCGGGCTTCGCCGACCCTCGTCACTATTGAAAGCTCAAGCCGAAGATCGACACGAGATACTTCTCCGCGAAAAGATTCGCGGTAGGTCGAGTAACCGGAGTGCTGTTTTTTTAATGCCCCTATTGTGCGCTCGGCAGTGGGTCAAGAGATTTACCGATTTAGGCGTGAAAGGAAGCTCTCCGTATTTGAAAGCGTCCTCCATCGAGCGTCGAACTACGAACTATTGGTACAGCGAGTAATATTCAAGCGGCACTCGTGTCCGACAGTTTCCGACGTGATCCAACCGAATCTAACAAGCGAAGCGCATCATCCATTTTCGCGAAATCTTAGGCGCATCGTCGAGCAAGCCAGAATCATGTGTGCGTGTATGTGCGCGCGCAAAAAAAAATGAGTATTTTTTTATTATCACAATTTTTAGAATTATCTAGAAAAATAAAGAATGCTCATGCCAACTCCAATGTTATTTGTTGTTTTCAATCAAACGTCAACAATATCTCGAAATATATAGAAAAAACGATCCAAGCAACAATTTCGTAATACTTGAAAAATATATAGTTACTCGCGCGTGAAAAAACAAAGTCTCCATCCCTTCCCTCTCAGAGAGAACAGATTTGCCAAGTATGATTAAGTGCAGTAGCGACCTCGTAACTAAGAATCATTTTCAGAGACGACTCTCTCTCGTTCTTTTATTATCTGCGATATAATCGAACACTCGGGGAATCGTTGTCTCGCATTTCCGACGACATCGCGCGCGCGCGCGCCGATAGCACCCCCGGGCGACAGCGTATATACTCGCAATTGACATTTATGTGATCTCATGCGAGTTCTCTCTCTCTCCCTTTTTCTGTTTCAGTCGCTGCTCTGAAGCTACTTCACGTAAATGTCCCGGCGTACACCCTCAGGGGCGACGAGGCGACTCTGGAATGCAGGTGAGAATGCCCGCCATAAGCCATACAAAACGTCAACTGCTTTTCCGCGCGACACAGTCGCGCAATGTCGCCGGTGGTGCGCGTATCTCTGTCAGATTATCGTGATGTTTTATCGCGACTGTGGTATCAAGATTTTATCTCATAATGGCATCCACTCTGGGAGAGGAAGGGAAGGGGGGGAGAGAAAACATTCTGAAATGATTCCTCGCGTGAAGATATATCGAAATTACTAAAATTTTAATACCACATTACTTCGTGATGAATCGATAATACATGACGAAATCTCTTACTGATGAGTAAAAGATTTCGTCATTTATTACTAATGAGTTCACCGATTCTGTCCCATTAACGTGGCTCAAAAATTTAGTCATCGCTAACCGATGATACTCGAAATAAACGTGTCACCGGCTAATTTTATTTGTATTTCCTCCATAGCTAAGAGCACAAATCTCCTCCGTTTCTAAAAATATCCCTCCGACTGCCTCGGCGAATGTGTCAATGTGATGGAAGCCCTTAAGCCCTTATTTAGAAGGAAACTCCCTAAGCTTTAGGGCTGCGACTTGCTTTCCATGCTCTTTAGACTTCTGCCCGAACCATCCTTTTTATCGAGGCCAATTAAGCTGAGCTTGCGATCTTGTGTTATATTTTTAATTCTGCTTCAAAATTATCTCATCGGCTTATGTATGATTTACACCAAAAACTTCCTCTCTCTCTTCTTCTCGTCATAAATTATAACGCATTTTGCACTATACATCACCTTAACTTAAACTTGAAATGGCTAAATATTTATCAGTGTTGATTAATTAATTCGTAGTGAAGATTTCAGATACTTTGCGTTCTTTAATTTATCAAACTTTTCAATCACCACGTGAGGCATATTCGTCAAAAATAAAAGGTGAATACTTTTCTCTCGGAATATGCCCGACTAGCCTACTTTTTTTCATTCGGTTTATCTCCCCCTCTCTCCCTTTCTCGATAGAGCGCTTAATTATTAAGACAGCGGAGGAAAACTTGACGCGAGGAGTCAAAGCTTCTTGCTCGCCTTTGTTCATAAAGCATGTAAACACGACCGAGTTAAACTGCGTTGCGGTGCGCACCGGCAAGATGTGTTTCGTTGCTTATCGATCGATAAACGCATTCGCGTTTTATACGCAAGAGAGATAATGCGCATCTCGTTGAAACAAGACGCTACTATTCACCTTCATTACGTAATTTCTGCATTCCTCCTCTCCCGGAGGCGGCTGTTACCTTCCTTTCGTTCTAGCTTCCGTCCTTCCTCATTATTTTCCCCAATTACGACGTACGATTTTACGATAGCGAAAACTGAACTTTCCTCGTATAAGGAGAGATCTCTTCGGTATCTTCTTCCCGAAATTGTATTGTCTCAATGTCGCTAATAATAAATCTGTGCCCAACGAGGAAGACTTCTCGGGTTCTTTCCAGGCCTCCCCCGGTAATTAATGGCTGGTTTCTCGCTCTCCCCGCCGCCCCCGTCCTCTCTTTCTCCTCCTCCTCGGTTGTGATTATGCACTGAGAGAAAAATATAGTTGCTTTCGGCGTCAACTATACTTTCTTGTGATTTTAACCAGAAAAATAATTAGAAGAAACATCTTTCTAATAACACTTACTAAAACGATGGTTCTTCTAATTATTTTTGTGGTTAAAATCACAAAAGGGTATGGTTGACGCCAAAGGCAATTATATTTTTCCCTCAGTGTGTTAACTCCGCGATCGATAATTGAATTCGTTTGCACCGCTAATAAAGTTAAGCCTACACAAAGAGAGCTGCCAGAGGTTAGTTCGATAGTTTTCGAGCGGCCGGCCTGCAGCGCGATCTCCGGCGGTATAGCGTTGCGAATACAGTAACGATAAATGGCAGGCTCGCGGGGCCGCGGCCGGGCCTCCGCTAAATAATTCGTGGGGTTATATGGATCGCACAATAAAAGCAAAGTATCGCGACATAATCACTAATGTATATCAACTCGGTTCCAAGCCAATGGGCGTGAATACTCCATGCCGTGGGTGTGTGTGTGTGTGTGTGTACAGTACGGGAAGCGAGCGAGTTACGCGCAGTATGCGGCGAGGAACCACCGCCGGTGGCTGCACGTACGTTACAACATAAATGGTGGGTCGTAATGAAGGGCCGGACCTCCCGGGGCGGACGGTAGATTTTACACGTGCGCCGAAATCGAAAAACTATACCATCATTGTTGCATCGACGCGGGTCGCGTACGCCGCGAGCGTACAACCGGTTCGCGTACAAATTCCATCTCCATCCGGAATTATTAAGACCGCGAGAGCGCGGTGGCGCTTCGCGGCGAGGGGAAGGGAGAGACGAGAGGGGAGAAGATGCGCGGGGGCCGAGGAGATCGAACGGAAAATAGAGGAGCGGAAGAGCCTCGGCGACGCCGGCGGAGAGGAGACAATACGGAAGACGACCGAGACCGTTTCTCGTATTTACCCCGCTCAGGTAAATCGTGTAAGCGGAACTCATAAAGGCATCCCGGGTAAGGAGCGAGGCAATAAAGTACGTATCGGGTTTGCGGTTTGCGTTAAAGGAAAACGATAAACAAAATTATAAATAAAATCGGGGCGAAGGAAAAAAAAAAGAAAAGAAAACGAAAAAAGGAGGAGAGGAAAGAAGGAAAGAGGCAGGTGGATGGCACGGACAGGAGTGAGAGAAGGGCTTGAAACGCGAGTCGGATCGAACAACGAAGAAATCTCGATACTTCTCGAGTCTCTTCGTAGTTTATTTATTTACTCGCCAACGCGGAGATGGGTCCGCCCGGGAAAACTTCTCGCCGCCAGCCCCCCCTTTTATCCTCTCTCGACCCCGACTTTCCTCCTGCCGGAAAAAGATGCCCCTCGACCCCTAACTCGACCGCAGCAGTCGTAACTCTCGTGAGATTTCTCTGCGCGCGCGAGTTCTTCATGGACCATCCGAGAGGACTGCGCGCCGCCGTGCGCTACCTTGCGCTACCGAACGCGAGCGATCGCTTCCTCTAATCCTCCGATCGGAATTCCATCGCCGACGGGTCGATGGCGGTTGCTGCCGCGGCGGCGGATTGAAGGGGAAAAAAAGAGGAAGAACGGGGACGCGGAGAACGAAAGAAACAGCGAGCCGTTAGTCAGCGAAACTCGTTTCAGCGGAACGATCCGTCATCGAATATGGGCGGAGAAAGAGAGAGAGAGAGAGAGAGAGAGAGAGAGAGAGAGAGAGAGAGAAGAGGACCAGAGGGAACGAGAAAAAGGAAATGAGAGAAAGAGAAAAAGAGAGAGAGAGACAAAAAGAACGAGAGGAGCGATCTAGTTGGCCGACCGAAAGGGAGCACCTTGGTAGCCCCTATTGGGTCGGTCAAGGGCCGTGAATTTTCCCCTTTGTGTGCTCCCGAAGGCACCCCGAATATACGTAACAGACACACTTGCCCCACCTCTCGCGCAATTCGCGACGCGAATGCACAATAGGCTCGCAACTGTACGACTCGCGTGGCGCAACGCGTCGAATTCGATGATCGATTCGTTACGTCATCATCGACGTGATGAACCGCTGCACGGAGAAAATTACTATGATTACTATATCCATACATGCTATAGTCAGAAAGAAGATTTATGTAATTTCAAGTGGAACAGATATGGCATAAAGTTGCCGCTGTTACGTGTCCATTTGTTCTCACGGCCATAGTTCTTATGATATATAATGTTCAGTTGGTATATCCTCACGTATACACAGTTGCCTCAACCAAAGGAATATTGCTGTTTCTCAGTTGTGGTCTGCAGAACAAATACTACGGTTGAGAGATCCGTAGAATTTGGTTGCACTATACAACCGAGAATACTACTCAAACATATATAGATAGGAAGTAAAGAAGGTTAATGTATCACTTTCAGAGTACCATGGATACTACAACCATCTAATAAACACGGGCAGAAGATAATATTAATATCTTGTTATGGCAACCGTATTCAGGCAAGTATGGGAATTTTTGGTGTGGAAATTCGGCCGAGTTGACAGAGAAACTTGCGGAAACCTACTTTGATTTTTGTTAATACGCGCGTCTAGAGTATGTGCGATTTTGTCTAATTTTTCGCGTTTCTTCCCTAGAGATGTGTTAACTATAGAACCTTAAATGTGTCTGAAATTTACCCGGATTGACTATCCAAATGTTACCGTCTTTAAAAACGTGATTTGTTTCTCTTCAACTCCATTGAGTCGCGAAAATATTAGTAGATTCATATTCCTCGATATTACTAAAAGTTCTACATAGTTATTTGCAAGATGATAAAAAGCTCTTTTGTTCAATTGGATCCAATGTACAAGCACATAACATCACCACTACAGCTCATCTACCATATGAATGATGATTCATCAATCTTCTTTAATTAATATCTCGACTATTATTGTGAATATCGCAAAACGGTATTAGACTTTTATATTCACCTCAATCTGTTCCCACAAAAATTGCGGAGCAGAGTCTGGGACACTCTGTATACATGATTCATAAGTAAAAAAAGAATAACTTGAGTATAACTGTCTACGTTCACGTCTGAATTACTCCACATGGGCCACGTTTCACGTAACGACCACTAAAACGAGCCACAAACTCGGAGTCTCCGTCCGATTAGTCACCTCCAATAAATATAGTTTTCCCATATTATACGCCATAATGCGTAGAGGATGATCGAACTCGTCGCACGGATCGATGGAGGATTAGCATAGACCAACTACGGATCGAATAATGGCAGATGATTACCATCGTCCGCGCAATCAGGGTCAAGAATTTCCAACGGCCAGCTGCTGTCGATTTATAAGCCTGCGACCCGTCTGCCCCAATACATTTTCAGCCTTACTTGGCCCTCCCGACCGGACCAGCCCCGGCTGCCCATGCCATCCGCTAGATGGATGGTAATTGCATACCCTAAGTTATCACGGAATCGAAGTTTCTTCCGGTAGGAAACGACAAGCTTCACGGAATCTCTATTAGAGAGGCTCGATCGAAGCG